TAAGACCAGACAGAACATCATGGTGGAAGAATGTGATGGAGGGAAGCAGCTCACTTGATGATCAGAAGCAGAGAAAATATATACCCCAAARGCACTCCACCCCCAGGGACCCATTCCCCCAGCCACACCGTACCCACCTTCAGTTACCACTCAGTGAATACCATCAGGAGATTAATTGATTGGATAAGGCTTTCATTACTCAATTGTTTCTCCTCTAGACCTTATTGTATTCTTGCATTGTCTTACACATGAATTTAGGGGTTTTAGACATTTCATATCCAAACCATAACACCTTCATTGTGCCAGAATTTCCCAAAAGGTTCAGATTCACCCTTTGGAGGAAGATCATCATAGTAAGCAGGTTGCCTCAAAGAGTGGAGAATCATTTCTTCACTCACCCACCTTGGCTTATATCCTTTACTGGTCCTCTGCTGGAGACTGGCTTTGACTCAGTTCTGTAAATGAGAAATYAATTTCCTGAGAACTTGGGCTGCATCTGGAGTAAAGAGGATCCAGGGGTTTATAGGGGAGAAAGGATCTCTCCTAATTTCACTGTCTCTTCAGAGATTGGACCATGTCTGCTGTGCTCACACTGAGCCCTGAGTTTGCAAAGACTGTATATGGTGTGGGCTGCCATACCAAACACCATAGACTAGGTGGCTTAAACAACAGAAATTTGGTTCTTGCACCTCTGGAGGCTAGAAATTCAAGAGCAGGTGCTTCCAACGCTGGTTTCAAATGAGAGCTGTCGTCTTAACTTTCAGATGGCTGCCTTTTTTGCTGTGTCCTCACAGGGTTTTTGTTTCCTAGCCACACAGGGAGAGAGATCTGTGTCTCTGAGGTCTCTTCCTTTTCATAAAAGGACACAGTCCAATTGGATTAAGACCCTACTCTTACAACCCCACAAATTTAATAACTTCCTTTTAGGAGTCTTATTTCCGAACGTAGTCGTATTGGGGATTAGGGTTTCAGTATATGAGTTTGAAGGGAACACTGTTCAGTCTAGGACAGTGATCAATAAATATTTGTTTAAAATATCAGATGGTGAATGGCAAAATCTTTATTCATTGATGGAATGAATGAATAGTGATTTCCAGTGTTCTGTTGGAAGGAGAAGAGAAGGAATCTGAACAGAGCAGGAAGCTCCTCTATGGCCCCTCAGGACACCCTGAATCCAAAAGAATCACTACAGCTTGCAGGTGTCAGCATCTGTCCTGGGTGTCTTTTACTGGAGGCCAGTTGTTTCGTGTAAGGGATTATTAGGCCACAGTGGAGGATCAGYTAATTTCATCCTGAGGAGGGCTGTTCCACAACCAGGGCTCAGGGGCTGGGTGTTAAGAGCTGGATGTATTCTCTTTAGGAGAACCCAGACATAAACAAATGCAGAGCAGCATAGCTGAGCCACTTAGTATTCCAGCACTGAAGTGCCACCAACACTAAACAAGCAACAAGCCAAACACTCAGGACATACTGAGTCAGAATTTATATGCTTTTCAGTGTAATAGAAGCCCTGATTCTAAAAACTGGAAGTTTGGGGTTCATTTCAGTTTCATAGCTTTTTACAATCCACCTTTAAATTGTGTAGTATATTTTTTAAGAGGAAATTTTAACTAAAAAAAAAAGAAGAAGAAATGAAAACACCTCTAAAATTGTTTTCTTATATATTTGTTTCTAARCTTTTATTTTACATAGTTGAATTACATATTCAAGACTCTGCAATAAATATATTGACAGCTATTCCCCACAATTACATATAGTATTTATAACTTAATTTGAAGGTCTATGTAATACTCCATCCAGAGCATGTGCATTCATGCGTATAGCAGATATCTGATGTATTTCACTTAATATCAATTTAGAGAAAATRTTTTTGTTATCCATATACAAAATAAGTAGCAGAAACACGAATTTGTTTTTATCTCAGAGTTTGCATACAGTACTATACTAATATTGTCATATCAAAAGAAGAACACATAATTCAACACATGTGCTATTTTTTAGATGGTAAATCAACCTTTTCTTTAATATAATTATTAGATAATTCACCCTTGGTTATTTGAAAAATCAATCTTTCCATTTTCAATCAATAAGAATTTAGTGATGGGATGGATAACAGGACACCAACAGTCCTGTCTTCAAGGGCTCCTTTTCGCATCATTATTCCTGTACCATGCTGGGCTTCCACACCGATGACTCCTGGTACATGACATGGGTCAACCTGATACAGGGCTTTCTCACACCTTGTGACATCCTGTTAGTAATATCATTTCTCATCCTCAGAGTTACCAAGTGTGAATCTTCCAACAAATTAAATTTTCCTGTTATTATTGGCTTCAATTGTAGAGTCTCTCCAGAAAAATAAATATTGGTCAGAAGTTCACACACATACACACATACACCACATTCCCCATGAGGGTGATTTATCTTGTTCTCGCTTTGCTTCTGCCTTTACAACATATTTATGCTGGAACCAGATGGTGACAGAGTTGACGCCCTCTGGATGGAATTTCAGAGGGTGGAAGGTCAGAATGACTTAGGCCAAGCAAGGCATAAGGGAACCAATTTTTATGGAATGTTAACTACAATATACCTAATACTGAACTAAATGCTCTGTATATTTTATCAAATTTAATTCCAATGCTATGGGGCAGGAATTATACTTTTAAAATAAGAAAACTGAGGGTAGGTATAAGGCATGGAAATATTTATTGAGTATACACCACATGCTGGTTTCTGTGCTCGCTCCAATACACAGATCATTGTATTTCATTTCAAAACACTATCATATGAGGTAGTGATTCTTAAAAGATCTAACACATGGCAGACAGAATTGAATGGTGTCCAAATGCAGCTTTTTATGCCTGATGTACTTCACTTAATTTAGATAAGAAAATATTCTTTTATTATCAGTATACACACTAGATAGTAGAAACAACAATTTGCTTATATCTCAGAGTTTCCAGAAAGTACTGTAGTAATATTRTCTTGTTCAAAATAAATAAGTCAACATGTGTGTTATTTAGATAGAAAATCAACATGTTCTTTTTCTTTTTTTAAATAATTTTAGTTGTAGGTGGTCACGACACCTTTATTTTTTATTAATTTGTTTCTATGTGGTGCTGAGGATCAAACTCAGTGTCTCATACATGGGAGGCAAGTGCTCCACCACTGAGCTACAGTACAACCCCAGCCCTCAACCTGGTCTTTAATATAAATATTAGTTAATGCACATTTGATTTGTTGAAAAATAAATCTTTTCCACTTTCAGTCAGTAAGAACTTAGTGACGGCCTCCCAAACTTCTGTCTTGTTCAGTTTAAMATACATCCTGCCACTTGGGCCCCACTGATAGAGGTTTAAGGTTTCAAGAAAAGAAGTGAATACACCTTTCTTGCTCTAGATACATTTTTCCTAATTAATTTTTATCTGTTCCTCAATTCCATTAAAATCTATATCAAACTTTGAGAGAAATCTTCCTGGTTTCTTCAGCCGTACTTCGTTTTGAATCCTCCAACAGCTTCTCAGGCTTTTCAGTCACTCTTGCTCCCTTCTTGTTACCAAATGCCCTCCTGTCTCTGGAGCCAAGGGATGTCAGCCTGCCGGGTTAAACCTGTATGGATACCACACCAGCAGCCACCTGCCTTCACACTGTCTGAGACTCTATTCCCAGGGAGATCATGGACTTCCCTAACTTTAATGAACCTCACAGCCAAAAGGCTAACCTTTTCCTTCAAGCTGATTGAAAATCACCACCTCTCCCTCCAAACTCTAACTTTATAAGCCAAAGAAAGCGCCCCAGAGTCATACAACAATCTTGTTTTTTCTAGAAATTCAACAGGCTATAAATACACTTTATTCCACTGATAATTTTGTGTGACAGTATTTAGGTTTACGAGAGAAAATAAGCTTTTTGTATTTCCTTTGAGCAATTGTTAATCTAGAGGTAACAAGATCTTTGCCTAAGAAAATAACCCTCCCATCCACCATGGAGCTAGACAACTGGCATTTCTCTAGCAAATGGTAAAGTGTTGCTCTCTGTATTCAAAGATAAGGATGAAAATGCAAATACCCTGGAGAGAAGTAACATTTACAAAATTATACTCACGCTGCCCTGCAAATGATTGATATGAGAGTCTCTCCCAAAAGGAATTGAGGTATCAAGGAGCAGGATTCTTTTCAAGGTGATGAGTGAGAAGCAGGAGCCAGCGCCTGCTCAGAAGGTGGTGCTCAGAGCGCTTTGATTCTTCACATTTTAAGTCTGGCCTTTTAGAAAATTATTTACTACCCAAGTCACATATTATGCCAAGTCAGTGTGAAAATCTTATGTAGAAAAAAGTTAAAAAMCCCCTCTTGAAAATCCCTTATATTCTCACTAAAGTACAGTTTTCTGCTGTTTCTCAAGAAGTAAAGAGTCTCCAGTGCCAGTTCTTTCTCCAGCAAGGATAAACAGACTGCATGCAGCTTCTTCATTTGAGTTCTCAGTGATTTGTTTTCATTTGAAGATCATCTGCATAACAAAAGTACCCACCCAGAAGAMTATGCACTGCAGCCTGGTCCTTCTGACTGGTATACCAAAGATCTAGGGGAACTGAGTCCCACAAGGAAACATCAGATTCACTTTCCCATCTCATGTTCATGCTGGGACATGTAGAGGCTCAGGAATGGAATGCTGGAAAGAAGTTTACACAGCCATTTAAATTATCTTCTCTATCTCATTTATTTTCTTTTTTGCTGAATGAGTATAGCAGGATTTGCACAAGTTAAAGTCATTATTTGACTCCTCTGAGTTTAATAATATGTGCAGCTCTTGGAAGCTTCTTGATCTGAATCTACCTTTGGACAGAGATGGCAGAAAAACGTGGAGAAGGGTAGAGTGTATCTATTTGGTTCGAGATCACCAAAATGAAAATAGATCACCCATGTGGAGCTTCTACTAGGTGATATGCCCAGTGGATAAAGGAATGTTTTGATAACAATCTCTCCCTCCCACCCCCACCCCAGGCTGGTACATTCAGGTCCAGGGAAGGGATCACCTCAGGCTGGCATGGATCTGTCCTTTGCAACCCGAACTGGTACCAAGCAAGGGATTGAAACACACCTCTTCAGGGCAGAGATCAGCAGGGACCTCTCCCATTGGACCAGAAGCATCGTACAGGGGTGCCACAACTCGGCAGAACTCATTGCGGAAATCACCACCCGTGAGTACTGCTGGGGGTGGGCTGGGGGTGGGCTGGCTGTGGGCTGACTGTGTCACTCTTACAGGAAGGATACATCCTCCACTGGCCTCAAAGTAGTTCCCATTACTGGCCTTCTGAGGTACTTAAAATTTCAGAGGCAACTGTAAATTCTTCTGGACCCAGGCAATGTATGCCCAACTGAAATATAAGCAAAGGTTTTTATGGTGAAAAACCTTGTTTGGCCTTCATTCAAGAAAGCTGGCAGGTAACTTGGATCGTCAGTTACCATTTTCCTATCCATAACCAGTAGGTGGATTACTGTAAGGCAGGAACTTTGAGGCATGAACTAATAGGATTCTTATCTATAAGCCACCTGAACTGATTCAGAGTAATTTTTCACAGAATAATATTGGAAATATATTAGGTAGCTACACTATATCAATTATTGAGTAACCACAGTACACTAGGTATTTTATAGAATGTCTTTTCTTTTCCCTTTTCAGTAAGAAATAACTTTTTGTGGGTTCAAGATCAATTAATGAAGGCAAAGCCAACCTTTTCAAAATTGGATCACATAGAAAGGAGACGTCAATGTAGATATTATTTTAATGTTTTGTAGAACTTTTGATTCGGGGGGTGTATATGCATATGTGTGCGTGTAAATGCATGGTCCTGGGTCACAATAAATTGCCTATCTAATCAAAGAGTCACAATTCCCTTGTCACCTTCACAAATCAGGAAGTAAATTCTTAAGAAAGGCTAAGTAACTTGCCAAAGCCACACAACTAGTCAATGACAGAAAGGACTTTAACAAGACTGTGTCACCCTGAATTCCATTGCTCATTCACTATCCCCTGCTATACCAGTGAGTCACAGACAGTAATTCTGTTCATGTTGCTGTGATAAGTCATTTGAATGCTGTCCTCTAAAACAGATAGATGATAGATAGCTATCAAAACATACATAAATATACAGACATATGTAGACACATAGAATTTAATTCTTTAATTGGGCAAAAGGTAAAATAAGAGACTGGAAAAGTAATATGAATCTAAGGTAACATTAATAGACAAAATTCATGCTGTAGAGTCTTGTACCTTTGCTAAGGCAGACTCCTATTTAACCCAGTGTCCTTTGTCAGCAAGCACAATGCACAGCTGGCAGTGTCTAGAATGTTATTTTTCCTACTCCTGAGATCTAACAAGTAGTTTCTGGTTCTGAGATCTATGACCAACCTCTCTCAGGTCTCTTGGGGACACTGGTAAAGAGGGCATCATGTGAGTGACATAGCCACTCATATCCTCAGCAAGTCTTCCATTAACTCTAATTTTGAATTTCTTAGGATCTTTTTTCTTGTAGTATTGTCTGCCCTCTTCTTTTTTGATATCAGTACAAGGTTATAGTCACAATTGGGGTGACTATTAAGTTCTTAAATTCAAATAGGCTTGGATTCAAATTCCAGTTCTATTTTTATTAATCGTTTCTTTAATCCTTTAATCTCTTCATTTATAAAAACAGGAGAACAATACTCAGAGGTGTAATAGGAATAATAGGACTCACTTCCAGGTTTGTTATCAGTAGGTAGTATTATTAATTGCTCTTCTTCTTATTATTATCTCCAGACCTATGTTGTCCAATATAGTGGCCTTTGTGTGATTATGTAAATTTTAATGATTGAAGTTTAATTATTTCCTCAGTTGTGCTAGCCATATTTCAAGTGCTCAGTAGTCACATGTACCTGATGSTTACTCTGCTGGACAGTGTAAATCTGCAACATTTCCATCAGCTCTACTCTAAAGGAAGAAGATTCCCTACAAGATGTTTAAGAATGATGCTTCCAAACTTTAGCTGCACTGGAAACAATCATCATCATAATATTTTTGTTGTATCCTCAAAAACCTTAAATTGCTGACCCTCCCCACCCCCCAAAGATTCAGATTAAACAGTTCTGGGATGGGGCCTGAGAATGACATCTGATAGATTCCAGGTGGCACTGATACTGCTGGTCCGTGGACCACTCTTTGGGTAGTACTATGCTAAGGTGCAACTTCTCAGGCACCAAGGAGCATTCTAAAAGAGRCGACTCATATTACCATGTAGTACTTCTTGTACTACCTATTGTATTTGAAAAGTCAGATGTTTTGTAGAATTTCTGCTTCAATTTATCCAAGATAATAAGTGCCTTCTTATAATTACCTCAAGACTAATTTGTACCCCCATATGTTTCCCCTCAGTATTGAAAATCCTTTGGGAAAGACCCTGAAGCTTTTATCTTTGATGCCTATGCTCTATGACAAGAAACACGAGAGTTTTGACCTGAGAGTGAAAGGGCATAAACCACCCACACTTAATACATTTATACATGTAAAGCCAGCAAATTAAGATTCCATGCAACATTTTTGGGAGTGTTCTAGGAAAGAATAAACATATCCAAAGGAATTTGGTTAAGTTGACATTCTATTTTAAATTTTGTAAAATCTTTCTGTCTTGATATGCTGAATTCCACTTCAATAGGAAAATAATGAGGCTGTTCATCAACTAGCCAAAAAAGAATAACAAAGCTAGCTGAGCTAGCTGAGTGATGTCAGAGAAGAAAGGAAGAGACTAAAGGTGCCACCCAGTTACAACTTGAAAGATGCCTGTAGACAGTGGGAGGAAAGGGTTTCTGTTCTAATCACAGCCTTAGTTAATGTGAATATGTGTTCAATTTATCCTGTGTAGACTGAAAACATCTTTAGATAGCTGCTTCCATTACATAAAGGCCACCAATATCACTTGAGTTCAATTGGAGTTAAAATTGATCACAGTCAGCTAATTGGGAATATCTGAAGACACAGTGCAAAGTTCATACCTGGAGGAAGGATAAAATGACCATGTTGAGAGCTGACTGATGTATTCTGCAAGTGGTAGAAGTAGAGTCCATGAAAGAGGAGGAGTCAAGATGGCATCATCACTACCTCTGTGCCACTATCCCTGGTCCTCCTTGGACTGGGAGGTAGGCCCAGTGCAGGGCCCAGGGTCCTGCCCAGAAAGACTATTAGAAAGGACAGCTTCAAGAAAGATCACTCCTTAGTAAAAGTTAAAAGGTGTCTACAGTGAATCAGAGAAAGGGATGCTTTTTTCCATCAGAGCTCCAATTAAAAGCCACCTCATTCTATGAGCAAGAGAGATCCCTATTTCTTTCCCAAACTCTTGACGTTCATTATTCATGAAAGAAGAAACCTGAGAAACTCTTTGCTTTGGTCCTATTCCCATACCCCTCCATGGAGAAGATCAGTGTGGAAAGAACTTGGATTCTGAACATTGAATGTCCCAGATGGTGACGTGTTCATCTCTCTGAGCTTTGCTTTACCCACCTATAATATTGGGCTAAGTTCCTGCTTCAGAAGTTTGTGTTAAGGTTATCTTCAGTAAAAGCAAAGCTAATAATGGTAGAGAGTGAGTTCTCACTCAGTAGTGTCCTCCTCTTCCTCTTCCCCAACTGTCCTAGCAAAGAAAATGTCCTGGTTTCCCCCCTACCTCATTTAGATGTAGATTAAGCCCCAATCAACTGGCCTGCCAAGGCCTATTAAATATGATGTTTTGTGAGGGGGGGAAAAAGCCAATCTTATACTTAACAACTTTGTTCAGGACTCTTTGTAAGTTTCAAATGATATATTTACAACTCTTCCTAATTAGGGATTAGGGTGCTGGTGACCGTCCCCCTGTGCAGCTCATAGGCTTAAACAGCTGGACTCTTTCTCTAAATACAGCGAGGCTCCCTAATGAAAAGCAGGTGCCAGACCTGCTTGTGAGCTTTCTTCCCTGTTCTTTTGGATGAGACGGTGCCCTCGGATATCACCCTGGGTTTTTCACAGGGCCAGGGGAAGAAACAGCATTCTAATGAAAGGTACCATGTCAGGGACTCTCCCTAGCAGCAGCTTTTCCAGGACTTATGACCATCAGGGACATTAAATGATCACCACTTTCTGAAACGAACTTTGTTAGACGTTTTCAAATAAAAAAACAGATTATTTTTTAATGATGTACTCCTGAACTCCTTAGTATACACCATGTTAACTTTGAGAACATGGTGAAGGAATTCCCTCTTCTTTCACCCACATCAGACATACCATTGTGCGTGCGTGCATGCATGCGTGCGAGTGTGTGTGGTGTCCACATGGTGAAGAGGAGAATGATGATTTAGAGGTGGCTTACTTTATTTGAATCAAATGTCTGGGTTTTTCTGGCTCAAGAGAAGGGCCATCTGGCCATTGGAAGGCAAGTGCTCCTGCCTCTGGACCTCTGTGTCATCAGATGAACAGAAAAGGAAATATTCAATGAATCCCACCCAAAGGAATTTCCTTCCATTTATATCCCTTGGTTCCTTGGGGCTAGGAAATTATCATATCAAAACATTCCAAATATTTGAATTTGACAAAATTATGTACATGTATAAAAATATGCCATAGTGAATCCCACCTTTATGTTTTTTCCTACAAAAAAAGCACCAATTTTAAAAAAAGGAAATAAATCAATAGAAGGAAGACCTGTAGAGTAGAGGAAGGGAAATAGGGGGAGGGAGGAGGGGAGGAAAATAGGAGGCACTGGAGACTGAAATGGAGCAAATTAAGTTCCATGCACGTATGATTGGGTCAAAATGAACCCTACTATTATATATAACTATAATACACTAACAAAAGCCTTAAAAAAATAAAAGGAAAAAGAAAAAAAAATCAATCCAAAGTAGATATTTTTGTGAACAACTACTATTTTTTAAAATATTTATTTATTTATTTTTTTAAAGTTATTGGCGGACACAACATCTTTGTTGGTATGTGGTGCTGAGGATTGAACCCGGGCCGCACGCATGCCAGGCGAGCGCGCTACCGCTTGAGCCACATCCCCAGCCCCACTATTTTTTTTTTTTAATTTTAGTAAGAAATTTGTGTCTATTCTCTGGGACTGAAGAGACTAGAAGTATTAAGCACCTGGGAAAATCAATTGATGGATTGATTTCCACCATTTCTATTTCTCTCTCACTCCCCCTCTCCTTCAGCCTGCACCTACAAAAACCAGGAGTGCCGCCTGACCATCCATTATGAGAACGGATTTKCTGTCTCCACTGAGCCACAGGAGGGTGCCTTTCCCAAGACAATCATACAGTCCCCTTATGAAAAGCTCAAAATGTCATCTGACGATGGAATCAGGATGCTGTATTTAGATTTTGGAGGCAAAGAAGGAGAGATTGTAAGTGTACTTCTCTTTTGACAGTGCCATTGCATTTCTTTTATCATACAATCCACCTGTGAGGAGTCCTAGACACAGGGCTAACTGTATTCAGGGAGCATCTGACTCAACAAAGTACCTGCAGACCCATGTTTTATTTGATCCTTGAAAAACAGTGATTAGATTCAATTATTTCAATGTTCTTTCTTCGGCTTCGTTTTTCATTAGAAGACTGCATAAATATTTGAATCAAAGGAAAGAATCCTTTATAAGGTTAGCATTAAATTCTTATCAAATAAGGTCTCAGAAGCTTAAAAAATGTGACATTCAGTTTTTAGAAGTATGGAGCAGCCATAAGGTCCTGGCATTGTGCCAGGTGTTCGGACGCAGGGAGGTAGATGAAGCTTTCCCTGCCATCACAAGGCCTCAGAGGAGCAGAGAGGACCAGAGCAAAGAGGTAGAGTTGGATAAGGGGCAGAGTAGCAGGGGCATAAAAAAAGCACAAGAAACTGGGTCAACTCTACCCGAGTGGAGAGAGGGACCCAGAAGGGCACAGAAGTTTGGGGCTCATGTCAAATAACAGAATTAGCACATTTACTGGTGAAGGTAATATTTGTATTTCTCATACCAATGCAAATAGTCCATGTGGTTAAATACATGATTGCCTGTGACCATTGCTGCTTGCTATGTTGAAAAATATGTTACTTCAGTTTCATAGAGGGTGAGAACAGTGCTTTCATCTGAATTCAGGCAAGTGTAGTTGTGAGCATTTCCCAGGAAGATATAGCATTTCATTTAGCTTGCCAAGTACAGAACTTCAAAGAGGCCCTAGATTTTATATTAACTAGTCTCTATTCAACTCCTTCCTAGCCACCCAGATAATCAGGAACTATTTGTTGACCTCCCCTTGATAACAGGGATGGAGAATATGTAAAACACAGGAGACAAACCTCAACTTGTAAAATCCAGTTATTTCAGTTTAGCTGCTGGCTTTCCACAATTCTTCCTCTATTTCTGTTTCTCCACATTTATTAGTTATTTCTCCTGTGGGACTTTACTGCTAATTTTTCTGGAAACAATTTTGGGATACCCAGAAGTAGTTGGTTGAAGGGGCAAGTCACATTTAACAGAGTTCAGGGCCTATTCTGTCAAAACTTCACTGTTCTACATCATGTGACACTGCTCACCCCAGCACAGGACCAGGCTCCCTGCTGTGGGTGCCACAGGCAGTCACCATGAAGTTCACTTCTGTGGCTCATGTTTGACCTCCACTTGCTTCTGGGAACTCTTTCTAGACAATCAATTTTTTTCTTACCTCTACAATGGATCTACAGAATTGTTTTGAATTCTTGTTTGGTTTGTGCGTGTTTCAATCTTTAATTATAGCCTAAAGCAACCAGTTTGGAAATAAAGATGTGATGTGAAAGTCCATTTTATTAAGAATATTTCTAGTTCTATTGCTGCTCTATCAATCACTCTCAGCTGTGTGCTTTTTCCTAAAGGTGACTACTCTAACAAAGTGGAAAAGAACAGGAATCAGTCTCCTATTTTGTTCTTGGCTTAAAGATTCAAGACTATTTTTGCCCACGAGGAAAATCACTTACGTCTAAATTCCAGCCTTCCTGCTTGTAATTACAATCTGACTTGGAAGATTTAGGAAGGACTGTTTTATTCCTGGTAGTCTGGGTTGATAAGCTCAAGTTCAGACACAGTCCTGAATGTATGGTTGAGCAATCCCAGAAGGCGGCAGCAGGCCTTTCTGGTATGGGAAATAGATCAGAGAGGAGTTGTAACAAATGCAATAGACTGAGGGTAGAAGGTCTCCTAGATTCTCTCTCTGAGTCTGCAAACAATGTACTCCAAATTTCTTATTTCCTATTCATAAATACAGGGAGTGAAACGGGTGATCTTTAATATTCTTTCTGAAAGCTGCGCTCTATGTTAGTGACATAGAACATTGCRATGAAGCCCTGGCTGTGGCATCAGATAGACTTATATTTGTGTCTATACTTTCTAGTCATTGTAAGATCTACAATTTCAGAAAGTTTTACAGCTTCTCTAAATCTCAGCTTTCCCATGTAAAAGATGAAGATGGCAACAGTAGCTAACTCATAGGGATTTTGTGAGAGGGAATTAAGTAAGATAGAGAGAAGCTCAGTACCTGACTTGTAATGAGCATAGTCTTAGCTTTGGTAGATATTATTGTCATCTCCAGTTCTTCATCTCCAACAGTGTCATCATCAGGACAAAAATGAAAACAGAAGAGAACTGGTATAGCTACCCCAATTTACCTAAATCAGATCAAGTGATAGAATTCCACATGGGAAGGACTTTCATGCTCTACCATGTGTGTGCTGGGTTCTCCAGGAACCACACTGAGAAGGACAAGGCCTTATAAGTCACCTTCACAGAGATGTGATACACTTGCTTACCCAGGTGTAAGTCAAGGACAATGAGGACACACAGCTGCTTAAGGTTCTTTGGTCCCAGTTGACAAGGAATTTTCACGTGCCATATCTTATTTAATACTCTTATGACCTGCAGGTTAGTAGGACTGAGAATAATTTTAAGTGACTTGGCCAAGATTATACATCTAAAAAATTCCAGAATCAGGACTTAAACCTCATCTTTAGGTGTGTAATTTAGTATTGCTCCATGCTGACCCAAACCCAACATAAATATCATGATTGTGGAGACAAAAATAAACGGTTTGGACAGTCAAAATGGGTAGCATCAATATTTATGGGATTGATATAGATAAATCTCACAAAATCTATTTCAGAAAAAAAAGATGTATGAGATGCAAGAAACAAGTTCAAAGAGTTACTCCTTTATCTCGCTGGGAGGCAATGATTTCAAAACATAATTGCTCCAGTTAAGGCTTAAAAGCCGAGGTGCTCATAGATCTGTTTGATGTGTAAATCACTACTCTGCATCAAGCATTAATTTAACATCTCTCATGCTCTCTTTTTAAATTTCAGCAACTGGATCTTCATTCCTGCCCCAAGCCGATCGTCTTCATCATTCATTCCTTTCTCTCGGCTAAGATTACAAGACTGGGCTTGGTGGCCTAAACAGAGGGGCGACTTGCCTCAGAAAAGAGGTCTGCAGTGCCACTGGAGTGTGACATCAGGCACCACCTGTAGTGAGCAGTGCACCCGATGTAGCATGCCACGGCCAGCTTCAGGTCTCAGGAGTCATGTGCAGCTGTCCCAGGTCCTCTGTCAGTTTTAGCAACTACACAGGGTGCGCTAAGAAAACACCATGAGGAAGATCAGACTAGAACTTTTTAGAACAGAATGAGGTTAAAAAGATGATATGACATAGCATAGCTTCTAAAATATGACAACCAAGGACATGGCCATTAGAACAGCATGTGCAGATCTTAATCATACCAGTTTCTAGGCGACTGGTTCACCCAGGTAAGCAAGGGCTGAATACATGAGAAATGGATACTTTCACTTACTCCCTCCATCCCAGCAACAATGATCCCTAGTTCTATTGTGATTTTATTTTGTAATTCTAGTTAACTTGACTTTCACTGGTAGAGAAAGAAAAACACTTCAAATGGAAACCCACCTTTCATTGAAGTATGAAGCAGCTGTTGTTTCTTTTTTCTTAATGAATTCTCTTTCAGTGATGTAGAATGATTCCAAAGTGTTGTCATTGGCATAGGCTGAGCAGGAATTAAATAAAGCATCAGATACTGATCTGAGCTATAAGCTAGCAGAATCTGAGCCAAAGTAGACTGCTTAAATTGCAAAGATTTGCTGAAGACTTGTGTGTACAAAAGATGATTAATTTGGGGACTACACTTACACCAAGGTCTGCTATCTTATAGCTAAAACTGACAGCTTTATTTATAGAAAGAAAATTGTGGGTATTTTTAAAAAGAGAGTGTCATCTGATACATACATATATATATATATATATATATATATATATATATATGCATATAAGTCCATATCATATATGCATAAGTATGATTATATATATATATATAAAACAATCCACCAGGTTGGGGGGTTAATTAATTCTCCCCCATTTCACTGTTTTCAGTGAAAGTACTCAGCAATTGATTGACCGACCTTTCATTCTGCTTGTGCTTATATGCATGCATTTTCAAGCAAGTAATCGAACAGTCTCATGTAATTCTGGATGATGCTGAGTTTTACATATGGACTCAGCAATATGGTGAAATCTACTGGTAGCATCTGCAACTCTTGGGATTCCAGGGAAATAATATAATGACCTGATATTTTTCTATGAAAATATTTTGAGACAGTATATAGCACATTACTGATTTAATGCTTTTGCATCTATCCTTCAAAATTAATTCACCAAAAATAACATCCATTATTTGATTTTGGAGTCACTTTTCTCAAACCTTCAAAATTAGCTCTAGAATTTCTGTAAGGATTTCTGTACTTCTTTCCCCTGTAGTTTATGTGGACAAGTGTTCTGTGATAGACCTGTGTGTTTTAAGAGTCTTATTTTCGCAAATACCTATGCAAAGAGCTTTAAAAAGTGAGACTGTTTTTTTAAAAAGTAATTTTGCTCCCTTATATGTATATGTATAATTGAGTTGCAAAGTTTTATTTTAAAGCACATTTCCCCAAAGTATGTAGTATCATACAACATTAGTTCTAAGGGTGGTACTTTGACCAGGGTCAGTTGGATAGGGGTTTGGTAATAAAAATCTTTGTTCAATACTGAGTTTTAAAATGTTAAACAGATTTCATGATTGCCAGCCACTTTAGAAACTCTAATGCTCATTACAATTCTTCAAGTGGGTTTTGGGTGGGTGGATCCAGTGTGTCTTTCCTTACACTTACCCATAGAACTTTCTGGGAGCATCTTGTGAAGCTAACGTTTTATAAACCATACTTTAGTAAACAAAGCTTTAGGTCATTGACATTTTGTTGTTTGTTTCCTATTTTAAGATACCGAAGAGTGAAGTCTTAGCTTAAATACTGTAGGAAAACATCGACACATTTGTAAATTACACTGCACTCTTTCATTATATATTTTCAAAATCACTGGAATGTTGTTATACAAGAGAATTATACTTGCGTATTGTAAATAACATATTAAAATGCCTATATTAATGCCAATAGTTTAATTCAACAATATGTAATCTAAGGTGCTCGGTACTACATGAAGTATGAGTTAATGACTCTTAATTAAGTTGCAAAGATCCTATATATATTTATAGACAAATTAAAATGATCATAATAATTACAAATATTATTTCCTTATCACTTAAGTCTTGGACTGATTGATATTTGTGTGAGAGTCAACAGAAACTATATCCTCTACATTTATAAAAATTTAATTTAAATATTTATATTTTAGGAAAAATATATTTGAATAAACTTAATGCATTTTCTGAAGTAAGTTAAAATGTATTATTAGCAAAGAACTAGAAAATTTTGCTAAGAGAGTTGTGTATGTGAACCATTTTTTCTTCCCAATTAAAGTGTATCGTATCAGAGTGGCTATAATGCATAATTTCAAATAATCAATTTTTTTCTCATTCTGAATTCATAAAGTTAGAATGAATAGAATAGTGTATATCTTCATCTTATTTGGATGTGTGTTAGTGTGCATGGCACAGGCTCAGATTTGTATTATATCTGAGTCAACAGATAACTGAGTCATTTGGGGGAATTTTTTTTTCCAATTTGCTATGTGTGCAATCTCATGAATTATTAAATTTACAGTGTTTGTCCCTACCTGGAAACCATACTGATGAGCAATATTTTAATCTGTACTTTGTGGTAAGCTTCCTATTGTCATTGGATGAGGGTGAATTCTCTGGCATGAGGATTTCTCTGTAACCCATTTTAACAGGAATTTTTAAATCCAATAGGAATATGGATATGATTTTTTTTCTGATTTGAAGTAAGTAGGAAAAATAATGCCATAAGTTTATCACAAAATACCCATGCAGAGGCATTTAATTAATTTGTTCAACTGGTCCTTTGTCCAAAAGCTCATTGACTCTGCTTGGTTGAAGTCAGAAAGAGTGGTCTTAATGGTCATAAAGATTCTCCTAAAATTAATAGACAGGGCCTTTGTATCCCATTTTACAAATATTAAATATGCCATATTGAGGGAATCAGAGTAGGCTGGGGTGAGAGAATGATTTTTGGATGTATCTTGAGGTTTTTGGTTTTTGTGTGTGTGTGTGTCTGTTTATAGCACCATGAACATCATGTACTGTTTATATATGGATTAAATAAATATTCAMCCCTGATTTCCAGTGAAGAAGTTTATATTACATTCCAAATATATACCATAGTGGATTGGATGGTGGTTTCACGACAGTCACAGAGGACCGTGGGAGTATGAAGACAAATCCTGCTATTCTTTTCTGTCAAGACTGGCTTTGGAGGGTGGAAAACGGGATGCCACTAGAAAGTTTTCATGTGTGTTCACTTATCTTTTTTTCTGAATTCATTGAAAATATACAATTTTCATCACATTGTGGTAAACATGAACAGACTCCCTAAAATATTAGTATTATCTCTAAATTATTAAGTTGACTCTAGTTTCAGGATAGGTTTTCACCTAGGATGTAGGGCTCGCATTTTTAACTAAATTTTCATGGGATTTGACATGTGCACCAAGTTCTAAGCACCTGAATTCTCTGTTGTACTATATAATTTAGATTGTTTTTAAATTGTTTATAATAAATGTAACAGGCTATGATTCAAAAATCTTTTTCCTAGCTGAAACTTCAGCAGTTCTTGAGATTAGATTTTGAACTGAACTTTCAAAAAAGACCTCAGAGATCATAAAGCACATTTTTGCTCAAAGTTTACCTATAGTTTCAGCATTATTACCTTCATATATCTAGGTATGTGGTTTTCCAGTAACAGCAACATGGGAAATACATAGAAAAATGAATTTACACCAACTAAAAAATGTTTAAAGTTTGTACCACCTAAAGTCACCCCTCCACACACACACACACCATGGTCAAGGTACTACATTTTGGGAAACACTGATCTCATATAATATGCCAGTAAACTCAGGAATCTCTTCTTGAACGTCTTTGAAAATGTTCATCTAGCCTGAAATTGAAATTTTCTGGCTTATAGAGGAGGGAGTTCCTTATCTCCTCAGGCAGGCCACTCCATTGTTAGATGACTAGAATTGCTTGCAAGGCTTTGTGCTTTTAGAGTCAAAACTTCTGCCTGCCTAACCTTGAGTTGTGACCCTGGCTCTACCCTAGAAAACACTGAAAGTCCAATTTCTCTTCCACATGAATGTCCTGTATACAAAAACAAGTCAAGGCTGAGAGCTACTAAGTAATGTAAAATGAGCTGAAAAAAAATGGCTTTCAATAGGATATTCAAAATTTTTCTTTTTCATCTTTACAGGACCAGTTAACAAGATTTAGACTTTTATAATGTGTAGTGGTAGGAGGGATAGGAACATAGACATTTATTTAGCCATCACTGGGTGTCTATTTGGTAATCATTTGGAGGGAAATTTGACAAAAATCCATAAAAATTTAAAATGCATGCACTTTTTGTCATGTGGAAATTAATTCTAGAGATATAATCACACAAATGCACAATCTTTGCAGCATTGTTTGTGACAAAAACCAAGAAAAAGTCAATGTGACCATCAATACTAAATAAATCCTGGCACACAGGTATGTGTGAATATTCTACAACTCAAAGTATTAATATGGACAAAACCTCTATGTGCAAGTTCTGCAAGATGCATGTCCCCCATTTGTGTTTTCTTTTAAAGTGGTTCTCAAGAAGAGTCAAAAGATTGCTACATCCCTATGCCCCACTGGGACCATTCTAGAAATCTGTACTAGTGCTATTTGGCTATCCCAGTGATTGGAGGCAGTGACCCCACTATTGCTATTTAATAAACAACAAWCAGAGTTGATTGACACTCTGATGAGGACAGCTCTGCATTAGATGGAAGCACTTCCCAATCAATTGTGTGTCCTCTGAGATCCATGTAGGTGAAAACCATTTAAAATTATCTGAGCCTAGACCTTGACTTCTTTTTACCTATGAAAACATTTTAGTTCAATATGTTCTGAATATTCTAGATAGGCAACTACTATGTAAATGGAAGACAGTTTGTGTTTGTGTTTTGCTCAGGACATTATCAAAGACTATTAACATTTAATAAAAACAAGTCTGTGTGTGGTACCTGACAGTACAAACCACCTGACACTGCTGCCTCCTGAATGGCAAATCTAGATAAAAGTCAAATGTTGAACTACTTCATTTTGTCTTCTAGTATAGTAGTACCAAAGCATCACCATGTTGAAATGCATATTATTTTATTACCATTACTTTGCTTTTTAAATATTTCTTTATCTCACAGTTAGGAAATATTAATTTTCAAAAATCCAGAGTCTACATAGGTTATATCACTGTATTGGGCACATCCTTAGTATCTCCCAGATGCCTTCAAGCTACCATCTTGACAACTCACTTTCCAGCCGCTTACTCAAGCTCAGGCACCACCACATCCAGCTTTCTGTTTCTGCTTCTTAGAGCAAACCAGTTGCTTGCCTGAAAATGCTGCCTCCTGCACCTCTGGTAGTCTGCTGCCAGGCAACCAGGAGGAGAGGCTTACTTAATTTCTGGATCCTATCATCAGTTCCAGGTTTGGATGAAAAGCCACGCTGCGGGACACAGAAGCTGACTTTCAAGCAGCTGCTAATGGTAATAAACTGAGCAATGCAGAACTGTAGGGGATTTAAATCTTGGTGGGACTGAACAGGATTAGCAACAGGAAGGTGCTGAGCAGATAAGCAATGCTCTTCCTCCTTTCTGTGTCCCTGTCTGAGACATGGTTGTTCCATTCTCCATCCCTCCTGAGATATACCATGTGA